AATTTTATTTTTAATTAACGATGCATTATGTCAAACGGTAGTCGACAAAACAAGATGCTCATACTTCCTCTTCTCCTCTTCTTCTTTTTATATTCAACTTTGCAATTCGCATCGACTTCTTCTTTTCTCTCAATTATTTTTTCTTAACTCGTTGTTATAGATCTAAATCTCTAATCGTGAATGAAGATGGTGTTTATTCTCCTCCATTAAACCCTCCATGGTCATCTCTTCTCTTGGCCAAACCGAGTTGCCGCTAGAGATCGACATAGCTAACTATGTTCGGAAATCAATATAATAGGTAACTATGTTTCTGTTAATAGTTAACTATTTTTTTGATAATAAATAACTATGTATTTTAGTTTTTTATTATAATAGGTAACTATGTTGCTTGTAATAGTTACCTATGTATATTATTTTTTTATTATAATAGGCTGATAATAATTAAATATGTATGTTATTTATATCCAAACTATTATAGCTAACTATTAGAACGACATTTTACGTAGTCAACTATATAATGAAAATCAGTAGAGTAGATATTGTGCTCTGAAAATAGTTAACTAGATTTTTAAATTAGTAACTAACTATGTTTTTAGATAGTCACAAATAATGTGATATAGCTAACTATGTTTTTATATAGTCACAAATAATGTGATGTAGTTAACTATGTTTTGAGATTCATTAAATATATTGTTTCAAAAATAGTTAACTATTTCATACAACATATTTGTTTTTTTTGTCATCTTCTCACCCAATTTTTTTTTTTGCACACAGATCTTATTATTTCAGAGATTCGACTGTAGGAGCAATTTTTTAAGAGATGATTTTCAAGAGAAGATTTTTAAGAATTTTTTTTATATTTACCTTAATTAAATTTATACCATAATTTTATTTTTCTCTGTTACTTACTTAAATACTTACATAATTTTAATGTAACAATTTTTAGATATGTTACTTACCTAATTGTTTTTCCCCAAAGTAATATTCTCCTAATTAACCCTAAATATAAAGACATTAATTAAAATGAACATTTACTATAAGTTTTGATGTAAATTTTATTTTGATGATGTGGACACCTGGAGATAAAAGATAAAATTTTTTAATTATATAACTGATTTTCTTATTTTCAATGTGTACTATGTAATCTTGAATATTATATGAATAAAAAGATGTTAAAAAGAAAAGAAAAAAAGATCCGCTAGGGCCCATAATCAACTTCCAGACTAAACTGTGGCGTAGGCCCATTTAGTTATATTGTTCCATTTCTACGTCTTTTATAAAGAGAAAAAATATAATTTCTTTCTACAAAACTCCCAAAATCCTCTCTCCTTGAATCTCGTACGCACTGTGTATCCAACAAGTGAACCAACCAGCAAGCTTTGATCCGATTCGATGGCGAGCATTAGCAACGAGCCAGAGCGCGAGCACAGAGACGATGAAGAGTCCGGAGCCAACGAGGATGAAGACACCGGTGCTCAAGTCGCTCCGATCGTTAGGCTCGAAGAAGTCGCCGTCACCACCGGTGAAGAAGACGAAGATACAATCCTCGATCTGTACGTATATCTCTATTTGCTTTATAATATCCCGAATCGTTTGATCTTATGTGTACTGGATCTGATCGTTTTCGTAGTTCCTTTAAGTTCTAGGGTTTAGTTTCGATGCGGAAGATTTTTGGTTCGTGATTGGAATTTGGTTTTTTGGCGAATCTGTAGGAAATCGAAGTTGTATCGATTCGACAAAGATGGAAGTCAGTGGAAAGAGAGAGGTGCTGGTACTGTTAAGTTCTTAAAGCATAGAGATTCTGGAAAAATTCGTCTCGTTATGAGGCAATCGAAAACTCTTAAGATCTGTGCGAATCATCTCGGTAAAATTCTCCGTCTACCTTTGCTCTACCTTGGTGTATATTGTTCCTGGATCTGTATGTGTAATTTATATACTCTCTTCACTCATTTCGATTGTTTGGAATCTTCTTCTGCAGTTAGTTCAGGCATGAGTGTTCAGGAACATGCTGGGAATGACAAGTCTTGTGTATGGCACGCTCGTGATTTCTCCGATGGGGAATTGAAGGACGAGCTTTTTTGTATCCGTTTTGCATCGGTTGAGAGTGAGTGTGAATTTCTATTGTGTGTGTGTTTTTTATGCTCAGTTGATTGAATCTCATTACCTGATTGTTGCTTATAGACTAGCTCTGATCTGTCTCGGTTCTTGTGAATACTGTCATTGTGCCATACCTTTATAGTAGCTTAAACCTTGTGTTTAGTCCTTGTCAAGAGTTTAGAGTGGAGATATTGTAGATCTATGGCTTAGATCACTGGAGGATCTGTAACTTAGTGATAATCCATATGATTGCTTGTTCTAGATGTTCTCGAAGCTTGTGCTGTTAGATTTATGACTGCTTTTTGATAGTTTTGATTTAAAAACCATATCATGGTGTTTGCTTGATGATACCCTTTTAAAGGTGGCAATTAAACTAGAGGTATTTGGGAATCTGTGTACATTTATAAGTTACCTATACAGCTTCAAGTGTATGATCTGCATAGACAAAAGAAGTCTATAGCCATCTAGTAGAGTACTGGTTGTCTCAGCGTAGCTTGGGATTGAGCTGTGTGGTATTGGAAACTGTTTCTCTGAATCTTGTTTCATGTGATGTTTCGTTTGTGTTTACCTGATCAGATTGCAAAGCATTTATGCAAAAGTTTAAGGAAGTTGCTGAATCTGAAGAGGAGAAGGAAGGGAGCAAAGATGCCTCTGATACCGCTGGTCTTCTTGAGAAGTTAACAGTGGAAGAGAAAGAAACCGAGGAGAAACCAGTGGAGAAGGTAGTATCAGCAGAGAAAGAAGAGGACAAGAAAACGAGTGAAGAAGAGAAAGCCGTTGAAAAGAAAACCGAGGAGTCTGCTCCCTCAACTTAAGATGCATACATGGGAGACGCATGGCCAGGTAATCTACAGCCTGATGTGTTTTGATCCATCGAAGAATTGGCGTATTTTTTTCTTTCATTGATACATGTTTTATGAGTGTGGTTGTGTCCACTTGCTGAGTCGTGTTGAGTCTACATGTTAGTGTCACAAAAGTGTCACAGGTCACATTTGCATACGCGAGATTTCGGTATTGTTTGGGATTTCATAAAGAGTAGATTTGAGCTCTCTTATGATCCCTTTGTTTCTTTGGAGTCAGATTATAGGCTCCATTTTGATTCTAGAGATTGTATGCATTGGATTGTT